GAGGGTAGACACCACTGCAAAGTCTCACCAGTTTCCCATAAGTCCACCGAGAGTACCAGGTTCACTCTCTACTTCTCAGAGTTGGCCATGTGCTTTCTGGCTGTCACCACCTGTGCGACTTGGACGTAGCGCACTGTTAGGTACTGGGTGGATTATTTTTTTGCATGGGTTTACCATGTGGAAAGACCATTTAAACTTGAGTTTTGAACACAGAGGATCAAGAAATCATCAAATCAAATCTAGCAACCGAGAAGGTTAGGAATCTTATGATTCCAAAGAAAGTGAGACTATGCTCCCTCCCAACTGATTTGACAAAGGTAACAGCCCCATCAGCCCCTATCATGCCTGCACCCTCGAAGCACTCCGAGTGTCGCGGTGTTCCCCAGATCGTCTAGAGAGAAAAGTCTGTATTACCCTCCAATGGCCCCTAACAAAATCACCAATCTGGTTTTTAACTATGACATGTTATAAACATCCAATCGGATCATATTCGATTTCGTTCTATTTACCTCGACACTAAGTCACAGTCTCTTGGTTCGTTGAACTACCCCTCAATCACCAGTTGGAATCTCGATTCCCCGGTCAAGATATGGGTTTGTTTAGACAGATCTTAAGAATCTTAATTAGTCACTATTTGTTGCCATTCTGATCCTCTTTGATGGCCATTCTGATCCGTCAATTCACCATTTTCAGACACAGCCACTGGCCATCAAAAGACCAAGGCTCCTCTGCTGATGGGTGCCAGCAAATTCTCCACACGCTGGCAAGCTTCGGTTGCAAGCCTAGCCTCAGAGGAAAAATATGGACAAATTGGAAAATGGCCATGGGAAATGATAGGATTCAATAGGATTCAATAGGATTCAATAGGTAAATCATTTGCACATGGGCTTGGATGTGCTGAGTTGATGAATTTATGATTTTCCCATTGGTTCATCCGCATCATTTAGGGAATCCATCGGGAATATGTTTGAGATTCTTTATTTTTTGGGGGCTCAGACAAATCCAAATACAGGTTGAGCCCAAAAAAGTATATAATTTCCATCTTGTTTTGCAGATTCAATTGATTCAACATGATTCAACAGATGTTCGGTTTCAGGTTGGCGGACCCCACGTAGGATACGTAGGTCAGTCTGCAACCGCGACGCTCAGGCCTCCTTGGTTGCAGTCATTTGCTTTGGCCACTAGCCCCAGTGTTCGAGTTTTGGGATGAGCAGGACAGGGGGCTCTCGGTAAACGTTTACATAGCTATGGTACATCACCCATTTTAATGGGCAAATCAACTAGATATGGCCATGTTCAATAGATTTCAATAGCTTTGTTACTATGTTAAATTGCCAGAGGATAGATTAGGTGACTAGATGAAGCATGGAGACTTGCATGCCATAGGTGTCCCTTACCTGGGAACTCCCAGTCAGACTTGGTCTTCCGCATGGGAAACTAGTGAGCATTAGAGGCGCCACGCAGCGTGCCCTTTTGTTAAAGCTCAATTGTCAATCAAGGAGTGCGTTTGAAGATTGGCCAAGGCTCTATACCGGCTATACCCCCAAAATAGCTATAGCTTGATGTATTTTGATTGGAATAATGATGGTGAAGTAGCACATTTGAGGCCCAAAGACATGGAAAGCAGCGGATGAATGCGAATGAACATTCCAAACTGGAACTCAGGTGCCCTTTGCTTGGCGGATGAGATTAGTAGAGTGGTGTTTCTTGGCAGACGGAGCTGCCGGTCCGGTGAATCGTGAAAGCTTTAGAGCAACCTACACCGCCTACACCCGGGCCGACACCTGGGCATGCACCTGGAATATCTTGGGATATCTCCCACTATATTCCACCTATTTGTACAGACATGTGTGCCACTTTCTTCTCAAACTATCACGGAAACTAGTTTTGACGTATCTAGTCCAACAGTTCATGGTGGGCCTTAGAGCCTCAGAGGCCGATACTTCTTCGAAAATCAGCAGATCTCAGCTGGTTAGTGTTTGATATGAAGCTGCTGAGTTTTCTATCATACCACTCCCACCTTCAGGTTCAATGACGATGTTTGCGGTTTGGAGGCTTAACAATTATAACAATTATTGATCCCCAGCCACCGTACAGCGGCATGGACCGCCCTGGCAGGTTGGTCTATGAATCTTTAAGTGAGCCTTGCAAGAAAACCATGTGGAAGATATACGCTTTGGATCCCTTTGGTTTTAACATAGCTATGGGAAATCATCATTTTTTATAGGTAAAACGATAAATCACCATAAGTAAATCATCTATAAATGGGTCATAACCAGAGGGTACAGTTTTCTTATGCCCAACTCAGTTTGGCAACTTGCTTCAGAAGTCGCCATCAGACAGGATTTTCGCACTGAGGTTCTTCTTCGTGATGAAGGACTCTCTTTTGGCCATCGCTGGGAGCCAAGGGTGGGAAAATCATCTAGCATGTCTAGCCAACACACTGATCAGATTATAATTGACAAATCCTGATTCTTGACCCCCTTTGTTTGTTTTTTCTTTTTGGGGGGTTGATCATTTATTGATGTACAAGCCTCGTCGCATTTCTAGTGAGATCTATTGAGCATATAAGACTTACATGGGCTAACAACAGAGCTACCAACTAACCAATTCGTTAAATGAGGTATATAGCCGCTATAGCCTGTAGATCTCCGGGGAGCTTTGCACCCCACCCCCCAACAGTTAGACGAAGAAAAACAGTCCTTTCGTCACTAGACCTGTGGCCGCAGGAAAGCAGAAGCAGCAGCGAGAACTACTCCCTGGTGTTGGTTCCATGCCTGGTAGTTGTCACGTCAGGGTCTCGGTAACGGCCGCCGTATGTCTGGGTTCCACTGGTTCCACTCACACCCGGCCTGGGTGACTAAAAAACCTTAAGCTTAAGCGGGGTTATACTAGAAATCTAACTATAGTGTCATGGGGATTGTTATCCAACATGGGAAACCTTACCACATCTTACCACGCAAGCAGGAAAAGGGGTGACCGATGGTGACCGGGGCTTTTGAACACTGCTCACGTGACTCTGAGGTGGTATGTTATCACCCATTCCAATCATATCAGCCACCAGTACTTTTAACATGTCGTTTTCCTCACCCGCGCAGGAGTATCTCATTGCCATGTGGTCACAGGAAAGAACACAGGTTAGATCATTGTATAGTAAAACAGGAAAGCAGTAGTAAGGCATCTCCCCATTTACCATGGTACAAAAATAGTATAAATAAACTACGGTGGTTGTTATGATTGTTTTACTAACATGACCAGAAACATGTCATGGTTCCGGTGGCTGAGGCTTTACGCCGAGCCCTCAGCGTTGTTTTTTTTTCTCCGGAGCTATGGAGAGGTTACAAGTGGGTATCACCATGAGTATAGGCCCCCATAAGATCCATAAGCTGGAATATGAACCCCCATAATCTGGAAATATCTGGAATATTCAGGCCCTATATCTACATAATCCATCATAATTCTACATAGTTATATATATCCACGTCGAACTGGAACTGCCCAAGTAGTGCTTTGAAAGCACTGCCTCATTTTCAGCCACACTCGGGGACTATAATTTCCAAGTCCCATGAATCATGTGGAGGTGCCTACAAGCCTGGCCAACAAACTATCATTTTGGGGATGGTTTATTATTGCGCCACATACAGCGTTGACCATGGCACATGTAATCCCGTGGGGCGGTGCAGCCGCAAACGTTGAAGGATTAGAACCTTTTCCAACGACCCAGGGTGACCCAGGTGCCCAAAATTACCATAGGATCTATCCGTCTATCCAACAAAAAAGCGCAGATTTGAAACTCCGGATTGGCATCTCATTTGCATAACTAACAAAAACATACAAACACGTGTTTCATGTAAGTATGCCAGGAAAAAAGTAAGAGTAGTACACCCATGTTCCAATCAAAGTGTTTTTTCCTAACCCACGCCATGCAGTTGGGGGATGTTGCGGGTGCAACTGCCATAGCCATGTTTGTTGCCGTTTCAGGTGGCCCCGTTGGGCATTCCTTTCAGATGGCCCCTTTTCCAGCCAGGTTGGACTTCTCTTAACATCCCTTCTGAAGGTGGACAGGGGTTGCATGGGCGCAGCATGAATAGCATGGAACATCATAATGAACTTATATGAACTTATGATCTTGACAAACCAATCTATGAATCTATGGTAGATCAACATATCAACCTAGTTTCTCAACATACCTTTCCAACATAGTCGAACATCAATGAATGAACCCACCTGCTCTTTTGCTTAACGTATGGATCGACAAACCCTGGGAATTCCCGTGCAAGCGCCAACAAAGGGAAAAAACAACGGCCTGCAGGTCTTGTACCGATGGGGCCTAGCTTGGCGTTGTGTCGAGCCCTATGGGGTGGTCGGGGGACCGAGGCTACTTGTCCCGTACCATAGAAGGGCCACCATCAAAATGGAAAAATCCTGGGCCCGATTTTTTTCGTTACTCATTCTGCTGCCTCAAGTCATGTCAGCTTACCTTTCGCAGAAAGCGGTTTGGCGATCCTCCACATCCTCTCCACATCCTCCGTAAGCACAACTTGGCACTTTCGTTGGGCACTTCATCGTTTGGCTCGTTGCTGAGGGGCTGTTGAGAAATTGCAAGACATACGTTCGGGTCCCAGAGGAATGGCGGAGGGAGAGAGAGAGACAGAGAGAGGCAGTTGGTGTTTTGGGACTCTAGTATACTTCAGTAGACGGGGTTGCCTAAAAAAGTAGGGAAAAAACACACTGATGGGCAGGCTTGGAAGAAAATCGCTACCTCAGGTGCGCTCATACGGCAACAAAAACCGAAACAATGGTCTATTAATCCATTTGTTTTCCTGTATCCTTGTGTTTTAAATCTGCGAAAAATCTTTCAATCCGTCAAAAACTATCAAAATGCCAAACATATCCATAGTCATTCTAATCTAGATGGCGAAAATATCATAAAATCTCCATGTTCTCATGGCTTAGCTCCCAGTTTTCATGGCTCAAAATCTCCTTGGTGTTTTTTTCCCATGGCAAAGGTGGCAGCCCGTCTGGCGGGTCGCGCCAGCGCCGGCGAGCTGCCCGTGCCCTTGCCGGCGGCGGTGCTGGTGCAAGTGGTCCGGGGCCCTGGGGCCCCGGCTTCGCAGCTCCGACCCGGAGAATGTGGGTAACATGGAGACCTGATGGCATCTGATGGCAATGCAACATATGAAACCAAGCAATCATGGTTAATATCAACCCAATTTCGCCCAATTTAAGATGTTTTCCCAGATTTCACCAAATTTATTTTTTTTCCCAGATTTAACATTTTTTTTTCTTTCCCAGATTTCACCATTTTTCCCCCCAGATTTAACCAAATTTATTTTTCCCCAGAGTTAACCAATTGTTTCAAATGTTTTTTCAGATTTCACCACTTTTACGATGTTTTTTTTTATGTTTTTTGTTTTTCAGGTTTCACCAATTTGAAGATGTTTTTTTCCAGATTTAACCACTTTTAAGATGTTTTTTTTCAGATTTAAGCAATTTTAAGATGTTTTTTTTTCCCAGATGTAACCACATGTAAGAATGATTGACCCGTGAATAATGCCATAAACCATCCCCCAGTCATCACCATAAATACTTGTAGCTGGTATAAATCATTCCCAGTCATGGGTGGTTCACCCTCTGGAAATTTAAACGTTTGCTATTGAACATGGCCATTTCTAGGGGGATATATTGATTTTCCAAAGCTATGTTAGTTTACCAGAGGGTAGGTAGGTTCATCTGAGAATACTATGGTTAGTAGGTCCTGGACAGTTTGGTTATGGTAGTTTTCATCCTACTAAAGAGTATGGTAGGTCTTGAGTTTTTGGCTATGGAAAATAACCAGCCAACCAACAACAGATATGGTGGAAACTACGGAGACGTGGAGCCTCCCGTAATTTGGAGTGAAGACGCATGGGGTTGATGATGTTCAATGGATTTTAATGATTTTAATGGGATGTATCTATGTCTATGTTTAAAATTTTGGGTTACAAGCCAGCTTATAACTGGAGGGTGATTAAATGAAGTGTAAGGGGATATTCACTAGCAAAAATATGGATATTAATATGATATTCATGAACACACATGGAAGATTAGCCAACAATATTCATCCCATGTTCCCCTTCATATTAAAAACACCCCGTAGCCAATATCAATGGTCCCAAAGATATGTGTGTGTGTTGTTGCCTACATCCACCGTGGTGGCTCTAGGGGGTGTTTAATATTAATTGGGGGTGAGGGGTTAATGAATTAATACGATATTAACTAACTCAACTGTGGGATATCAATGGGATAACTGGAATATTGATCGAATATTAATATCCACTGATTAATGGGATGAATGGGGATTTAATGGAATTTAATTGGATTTGTGGTGATGAATTGAGGATATAATTTGATAGGATTTCCCGGGGGAGGAATGGCATTGGTGCCTTATGGGGATTTAACCAACTGTTGGGAATTACAGTCTGCTACTTGAACAGTTTGCTATGGAAGCTATGGCCAACAAATTTGACCCTTACAAGATGCAAAGAAACAACTTGGCAGGCATCAGAACCAATTGTATAAGGTTTATGATTTTTTTTTGCTCCAAGAAATGGCATTATGCTTTTCATGACCCCTTTTTAGACAGGAACACCTTAAAGTGGATTTATGGAAAATCTACAAGAACCGTGGATTATTTCTGGGTAAAACTCAATTGCTTCAAGCGTTCTCCCACAGAAACAATGGATGGATCCATGACTAACAGTGACTAACGTGTTTTTTTTCCCTTTTTCAAACCTCCATTTTTGAGGTGATTTCCCCCTGCCATGGCAGTGATTACCATCTGCTCATGACGAACAGTTTGCCATGGAAAATCGCCATGCTATTAATAGGTAAACCTCCATAAATGGGCCATTTCCCATGGCTATGTTAAATAACCAGAGGGTATCGTTTTTTTCTGAATAGGCTTTGACACTTCCACCTGCCCCCCAGGCAGGCGTTGGAAGTTTCATGGCCATGCTGGTGCTTCAGATGCGCTACCTGGGCTATGTTTCTCGGCACTGCGGAGGGGAATGGGTGATTTTCTATTGCCATGTCATGTTTGTTTTTACCACAATATTGGAGATGCATATCTTCTTCTGTAGAAAGCAGTAGGGATTGGTATTCACAATTGGGTTTGCTTTTCCCTTCCCCAATGGTTTTCCATCTAAACGGGTTGGACTGTGGTGGATTTGTTTCTGTGCGAGTCCCGTGCAGGATTTAGTTCAATGCTTTGAAGGCAGAGAGAGAGAGAGAGAGAGAGAGACTGGTACTCGTAGGTGGTTTCAATGTAGTTATTCTTTGGCAGCCTCGGGCATGGCTTACTGTCTCCATAATGATGCAATATGGCATGATTTCCGGGATGAAAATCAGGATTGCAATGGAACTGGCATGAAGAGGCCTCCCTTTTGTGATTTTGTGGATGATTTCTCAATGGTTTGGATCTCCCGTTGTTTACGGGTTTGTTTCCCTTAAACCGGTGTACTGTCATGCTGGAGATTTGCATCAATTGTGAAGACATATGTGAAGCCCTCCTTGATGAGCATGTGTACTCCATGAGCCCTTTCTTTCACAGGTGTCCTCCATTTCCTCCCTGGTGTTAGCTGAGCCATCAAAAATACCCCTGCTGATTGGTTAGTGATTGTAGGAGCTTATGCTAGCTGGATTGTTGGTGATTATTATAGCTGATTGGTGGTTTGGAACATTTTTTGGTTTTCCATATATTGGGAAGAATCATCCCAACTGACGAGCTCATATTGTTCAGAGGGGTAGGCTCAACCACCAACCAGATAGGCTATGATGAGAAAACAATGTTTAGATGGGAAACGGGGAGTGTAACTCTCATGACCTTCCTCAAGAATCAGCATCCTGCAGTAACCACGCATCGTGGGCAGTGATCACCTTCTGGTAATTTGATGTAGCTATGGAACATCACAATGTTTAGCCGGTGAATCATTCGGAAATCTTTGAACTAAATGGAGCAGCATATTTTTCATAACTCTTAAATCTATTTAAATCTTAAATCAGCAGAACGTAATTCCCATTCATATCCCCATGTTTGTTGGTTAACCCCCAACCAAAATCACCAATAAATCCCATGAAATCCAGCAATCCAGTCTCTCCAGCATTCCAGGTGCGCTACCATGAATTGCGACTTCTAGCTGTAGCACTTCTGAGGACCGCGACTATTCGGATCGTGGTGGATGGGAGTGATTCAGAGCTATCATGGGCTATCCATGTTAACAAAAAATGGAGTCAGTTGGAGCTACGAATCGAGTTTCTCAACAACCATGGATAGGTAACCATTGATATAAGGCTTATATAATTGGGGTCATAACCATGGTTTAACCATAAATTTTATTGGGAAGAAAAAGTACAAAAAACTACGGGGTAAGAAATCAAGTTTTTTCTGGGGACGTGGAGGGCCAATGGGTTCCCAGAAACTATCCGCATCAGGGCGGTCAAAAATGATCAAACATGCAGGTACCACCCCAAAAATTTGGATAATTGATGACTAGAAATACCAATTGCCACTAGCAGATATTGAGGAACATGAGTTTTATTTTTCCATATGTAGGGAATAATTTGATTAGCATATTTTTCAGAGGGGTAGGCTCAACCACCAACCAGAATACTTATAGAATCTTATAGAATGGCCAAATACTTATAGTTGTTGTATTTCTAGTCATCAAGTTGCCAATAAGTATATCCAGCAATTTTTGTATTTCCAGCAATTAGCAATACTCGCAATATTCTGGTTGGTGGTTTGTTTTTTTTAATCCGATATTGGGAATGATAACCCGGACTGACTAATATTTTTCAGAGGGGTTGAAACCACCAACCTTTATTTGATGATAGGCCAAAGTTTGCTGGTCCGAAATTTTGACATCCCATCGGCTGGAGAAGCTTGCAGGCCCATCGAGCCCTTGTTCAAGTTTGCAGGCGGGAGAAATGTTCGGTGGATCAATGCCTATAGCCATAATGTGGGTAAAACAATGCCACCACCCATGACTGGGAATTGTTCATAGCTAGTTGTGGGTAAACTAACATAGCTACGGAAAATCCATAGATCAATCCCCACTTGTCATTGTTCAATAGCAAACCGTTAGATGTCCAGAGGGTTAGATAATGCCATAAACCACCCTGGGAATTGTTCATATCACCTATTTGTGGTGATGACTGGGGAATGCTTTATGGCATTGTTTTACCCACATGACATGGTTGCTAGTCGGCTAGTCCCCAATGTCAGAGGTGGTTGTCAAAGTTGTCGTGCAGCAGTCGTGGCGTTTCATGGCGAGTTTTGGAAGAAACCAGGAATTGCAGGTCTTCATGTTGCACCTATTCTCCTACAATGTGGGGCCCCCAAGATAGCTAAGTTGGTTTATAACTCCAATAACTATGGTTTATGGTACTTATAACTATAGTTAATGGTGTTTACAAACCAACTTTTAACTGGGGGGGCCCACATTTTATATATCATAATCATAATCATGTTATATATATATAGATGATGTGATGTAATATATATATAAGATTGAAGTATGCAGGTTCGCCAATGTCTTCCAAACACTATTTGCTCAAGCCAGATCCCCCAATCCCTGAGGTGCCCCATTGCCCACCGATGCCTTAGACTTCGCAATGCCCAGGCCTGGGGTAGGGGGTCAAAGCAACAGAAATGGCGAAAAAGTGGTGACTGAAACGTGTAACCTGGGAATATCATGGATTCAAACGCTACATATACACACATGTTAACTATATATATATATACACCATATATATATATATATATACACCATATATATATATATATCTATCTATCATATGCATGCATATGCTATACAAAGAAGGCTTCACACGTCCTGGTTTTTTGGTGACCAAAGCTTTGAAGCCGATTCTGTGCCAGGATTAGCCGTGAGAGCATCTCACCGCTACATTTGGCAAGATGTTTTTGTTTACACTTTGGTAATTGAACAGTTTGCTGTGGACAATATTCCGTTTTATTTGTCGAAGTTTTACTAAGTGTTTTACCTATTTAAAGTTGTGATGTTCATAGCAAACTGTCGGCCATCCCCACGGTGTGACCTGTGTATACCCTCAACACGCACCTTTGCCTCAACACGTGCTTGCTATGGGCCAAGGGGCCAAGGGGCCAAGGGGCCAAGGGTATTTTGGATTCATTGTTGTTTGGCTCGTTGATCATAATGATATGCATATGTATATATATATATATATACATAATCATATATATATATATATTTATATATATACATATGTATATGTATATGTATATGTTTATGTATATAGATTTATGTCAAACATGCACCTTCAAGGTCAGCTCCATTTTAAAATGATTGAATCCCTGCAATTGACAGGCTCGCTGAGGGATACAGCTGAATTATTGCCACCTTGTTCAACCTCAGGCTCTCAGCGTGTCTCCCTCAAAGATAGGGATGGTGCTGTCACGTGGGTCATGAAACCTGCAAGTTGTTGCTTGAAAACACCATGTGGAAAGTTAATGATATTTTGTTGGATCCACTCAGTCTACATTTTTTTCATTCTGCCAAGTACATCGCAGCACTTTGAGCAAGCCAAGAGTGCACCTTGTGCGCAGCGAACCTCGAAGTATCTCGAAATCCATCAGATCAATTGCACCTCCAACTGTCAAGCTCCAAGCCACTTCCCCACAACATGTTCAAACTAGTCTTCCCCCATGAAAATATATGAACACATATCTCCGAGATGGCGATGGAGGGGGAGAGATATCAGGAAAAGAACATGAAAAACATCATTCCACTCATTGACTTCCCCCAAGCAGCTGAATGATCCAAAAATTTGGCCTTCATCGCCATCAGCTCCAGTGCCAATGTGCGTTGTTTGGTGCCATGCCAAGCAGCTTCCGTGCCTTCCATGCCTTCGGTGCCGTGCCGCTGGGCATCAACTAACATAACTATGGAAAAAAAACACCATTTTTTAATGGGTAAATCAATGTAAATCAACGAACTACATGGGCCAACTTCAATAGCCATGTTAGTTTATACCTGAGGGTAAATGTCATAGAGAAGCCACAAAAATCACGGGAGTTTCACTGTATATCCCTATGTTGGACAACCCCATGAGCAAGGAGGATATCAACTATATTCATGTTGATGTGAGATGATGTGAGTATATACCTGAGTACTGGATGATCAGATGCAGTTTTGTTGAAGCTACCATATCCAATCCAGGTCGGAACAGTTCAATGACAGCATTATTATCATTATAGTGCTTCTGTTTTCCACTTCATTATGTTTGAATATTAGGTTCTCGTAGTGTTCATGTGTTATTTTGTTTTTACCATCACTGAGATTTTAACTTATGTTTTTTTTTATGGCAGTTGTTTTGGTGTTACTGTTTGCGTATGTTAGAACATGCTAGAATTTATGTTCATTAGGATTATTTGCATGTCTGGTTTGATTACTTACTATCATGACTTTTTTGTTCTGCACACGTTATTTTTGTGTTGTTCTTGATCATCTTGTTTATTGTTGAACATTGTTATGTGAAATTGTGCAATAGTGTTATTAATGTGTTGTTGTTGTTGCTGCCGTTGTTGATGTTGTTACTAGTTCCTATAGTTACTTTGTGTTACTATTAGTTGCTATAGTTACTTTAGTTAGTACAGGCTATACTAACTAGTTCCTAGTGCTGTATTGGCGAGTAACTTTGACTTCAAGATGGCTGTGCCACCAAAACGACGCCCGAGGTCCAGCGCCTTCATCGACCCACCACCGCCGCGACCTCCCACCAAGGTGAAACGGTGACATGGACAACTGAAAAGATGTCTTCAAAACGTATCAGCCGTGATATATGATTCAATATAGTGATCTCTGATAAGATATTGATCATCTTGGATAGATGATAGATATAGTGATCCACTATATTAATCACTATATGGATGGACATATGATCCATTAATGGATGATCAATCTCTATGGATCCAAGATGGTCCAAGTACTTTCTGAGTATTTGGGGGGCAGGATGGGATCCCAGGTAATTACCGAACATCAAGAAGTTCCATTGGATCGGGAACGGATGATTCATGGATGTTTAGTAGATGGTAAGTGCATGAGTCCACAATCTATCCAGTGTTGAATGGAGGGAGTGATTCGGAGCTGGGGATGTCTTTATTCCAAGCACAAGCCAGGGTTGGAGCCAGTGCTTCCAATTGAGTTTCCGAACCCTATGATAGTTAAACATGTTTTTTCCGATGCCAGCTCTAGCGGGTCCATAGTCAATCAAAGATTGCTGCCTTCAACACATGTGGAAGCACTTTTGACTACATTATACTACAACATGTTTTCTCATGGAAGGGAATGGTCATCCACCCCTTGTGGTTTAATTCTAATCTGGTTGGTGGTTTGGAACATGTTTTTTTTTCCCATATATTGGGAATAATCATCCCAACTGACTTTCATATTTTTCGGAAGGGGTAGGCTCAACCACCAACCAGTAATATATTCTAATATACTTATTGCAATCTTATTGCAATCGGATGATGTTGGCCGGTGCATTCTCCCAAGCCTCATGGGACTCGACCTGGAAATCCCGTTCTGTACGTCGACGAGCCGCAGGTCCGACTCTTGTCGCCCCAGCTACAGGCAGAAATCCAAGTGACTTAGCTGTGCAGGGGAAGTGATATGGGTGATGCAATGCGGGTAGAGGATCAACAATATGATGCATATAGTTTTTTTTATTTTTTTATTTGTTGAACTTTATGTATATATATATATATGATTATATACTACTTATTTATGATTATAAATATATACACTACCATTCTTACATATTAGGCATAGCATTAGAGGCAGCCTCTGCCCACTAACGCTGGGCAGTTTTTGGTTGATGGGAAGCTTCCAAAGATGAACGCATAACATTTATGGGAAAATCAATTGTACAGAGTAGATATAGATAGAGGTGTCTAGCTGGGAAATCTTTTACAAATTGTGGATTTGCCCTTGGATGAATTATATAGCCCTGGTTGAATTATAATGACTCATTGCGACGTCACTGGAATGATGGTTTGGATTAGGGTAACTATCCCAAAATTGCCACTGTTTTTAGGTCAGGACATTCTTAGAATCTATCCGAATAATTCAACCATAACATAAGAAAAAGCAAATATCATGAGGCATGGCTTTCATGTGTTGTTTACATATTTTGGGACTACGGGGTTATTTTCATATCAAACATATGGATGGTATCATGGCGTTGGACAGTATCATTACCCCATGAGCCACCATCCAATCATGGTATTTTTGGGGAATCTTGGGGATCCCCAACATCCACTGAAGCTTGGTGGATCCCCAACTATTACCATCTGGTTATGACTTAACAGTTTGCCATGGAAAATCACCATGCTATTTTTTTAGGTAAACCATTTATTTCTATGGGCCATGGCCTGGCTTCCATGGCTATGTTAAATAACCAGAGGGTATTTTTCGTTGATTGATCAGTGGGGCGATCTGAACATGGAAGTATACCCAACATTGGGCAAGTTCAATGGGAACATTGATTGATGATTGTGTTTTTTTCCCATACTTTCAGTCAAACCCAAGTTTCAATTTTCTATGGGAATTTCTGGCAGGATTTATTTTGTTTGACGTTTAGTTTCAGCCCTTGTTTCCGTTGTATTTCCGTTCTTTTTTGATGTCCGACGAACAAAGAGACCGGCGTACAGCTGGGGTAGAAAATGAGGTTATTTTCCATATCACATTCAGATATCTTATGCATATAAGCGGGCATAGTGCACTATCCCGCTACAGATTTACTCTCCCAAATATCCAAGGGTAACCATGCCATGACTTTGTCTCCTGAATTCTGCCATCAATTACCTGGCAATGGTGCCCACTAGGATAGGAAGGCAAGATATCTTGTTATGGTTCCAACAACTACTGGTTATGTGTAACGTGTGGGCTCTAGACCCAAGAGTAATGAAGATATATGAGATATCATGTCAGGCAAACTATCACTTCTAAACCTTCTTGTGGGTTTGATGTTGGAGTGTTCAGAAATTTATATACGTATTATGTTATTATTGTGCTGGCATTATTGGCCACCATTCGCGCCAGGAGAAGGCACTGGCGCAGGAACGCGCAGCCAAGACGGGAAATGGAAGTGAAGAGGTGGGTGTCACCGGGTCCCCAAAAATGTTTTTGAGCCTCCGGCCAAGGAGGACTGAGACTGAGACCAAGGAAAATGATGTTGATGATGGTGATGGTGTTCTGTCTGATTCCCATCCATGTCAGATTAAAGACCCTCATTGTATGGTGCCACATATATGTTCCAATCCCCTACTGAACCATTGTTTAAGGGGTGTTGTTAATATTGAGAGGGATAATATGATTCATGTTTTTTCCTGGGCCTCTTGGCTGCCGGGTCATGCTGCAGGCACTCATTGAGCAAGCCAGAAAAATTGAGTGGAAGCAAACAGGCGAATTGTTGGAAGGGAAGATCGAAGCCGGAAACCCCGAGATGTATGATTTCCTGTAGGTTATAGGGAGCCATGAAAACATATATCCCTATAAATCCCCATGGAGGATCAACAGAGCCATGGTTTCCTGTAGATGTTCCGTCAAATCCATTGACTGCTAGAGATCCGTTGTCGCGCCTTAGATCATCAAAAGTCCAAATAATCCACCGGGAGTTCTTCCATGGAGAAGGTATTTCAGGTACACTGCATGTTACATATGATATGGGTACAGTAAATTTTGATGTGAATCAAAATCAAAAGGCTACACACGTTTTCAAGGATTGTCTTCCGCTTGAGGAAATTTGCCTAGTTATGCCTAGTTGTTGTTTGAAGTTGCAGCTCTGAAGTTTTTTTCTTGGGGGGGAAGCAATCATAAGATATAAGCAATACTATACAATGTATATATATATATATATTACAACAATTTACAACATTAATACAACTAAACTCAACTGGAGAGATTGTGGTTGCAGCTTAGGGTTTGATGGAATTGTTGACATGGATGGGTTGTTTTGTTTCGGCAAACCAGAAGCCATCCCGTTTTCGGATAGCAATCCTGACCGTTCACGGTAGATGTTTGCTTCATTATTGATCAAGTTGTTTGTCTCATTAAGCTTTTGATTAAAAGAAACTAATGAACATCAATAAACTTGATTTTTTTGAATTTTCCTTGAATTGTCCCATCTAAATCCAGTTTTCATAGATGATCCTTTCGTTTTTGTTCCATGTTTTTCCTTTACCTTTCCGCTTTTTCATCGACATTTCAGGTCATGCGGCCCCCGGCCGACCTGGTCCCAACGGCGTCCACGGCGGCTATGGTCAAGGAGGTACCAAAACATGAATCAAAGACGCTGGTGATATTGACATTACATCAGATATGTTCTTATGTGTTGATCTATTGGACAGTGACATTTCAAGAAAATGATATCCTGATATATATATATATATATTATATTATATTATATGTATATATATATATATACTGCCATCCAAGAATTGAAGGTTTTTTTCTACAGGAAAGCCGTATCTAAGATGATTTTTATTGATTTTTGATGGTCAAAAACATTCAAAAACCATACGAAACCAGAGTTTCCCCTAGATTGGCACAATCAATCCATAAATGCCGCCCAGGCTACGGACCAGGTTACGGCCAGCCTGGCCGACAATTTGGGCCGACTGGGTCACCACGAGGCTACGGTGCGGGACCCTGGTGGCTCTGCGACTACCCGACTACCCTTTGGGAATTTAACAGTTCTCTATGGAAAACCATCATTTATATTCATATATATATATATATGAATGCTTTGCTGGTAGGCACAATCATCATAGTCGAACTAAATGGGCCGTAGCTTCCATATTTATGTGAAAACTGTTCAATGATTTGAGGATAACTTTATATATACTCATCCAGTGATATATTGGTTGGGCAGATGGTCCCCAATGACGAACATTTTTCAGGGAGGAAACCACCAAATCTGCCTCAAATGGGTCGTATAAACCATCCTCAAATAAGCAGTTTGATTATATATTGGGATCACCATTTTGCCATGTTTTTCTGGTTTGCCAAGACATGTGGATGCTCAGAAATTCTGGAATCAAAAAGCGTTTTGTGGACAAAGAGGATACCGTTCAAGCTAAAATGTAACCCAGGTAGCCCTGGCATTTCTAACAGACTTTGATTCTCTTCCGATGTCAATAAAATTGGTCCACCTGCATGTTGTGGATGGGGATATTCCAGTGGCGAAATGGGCGGAATGTGGTTAATTTTGACATGGATTCGAAGTCATCCACAAAACAAACGAACTATGATCTGGCAATTCAAGCTGGCAATGGGCAGCCACCATCTTCAATAGGCCAAAATTGCACAGAAATCTTTGGCTTTCCGCCCTGTTTGTGATCCGATAGGTACCTCTATCTAAGTTGACGAAAAGATATGTGCCAAGGTCAAACTTGGATTGTGAAACAGGCATCAATCCATTAATAGTGCTATATATGGTCCCGTGTCCCGTGTTCCCCCCCCCCCCCCTCCCCCCCCCATGGGATGGGGGGGGGTATGATGCCCCTGTGGTGGTGTATATACATACATACATACCTACCTACCTACCTACCTACCTACATACGTACATACATACATACATACATACCATTACATTATTACCCTTACATTACCTTACCTTACCTTACATTACCTTACTTTACATTCCATACATACATACATACATACATACCATTACCTTACATTACCTTACCTTACATTACCTTACCTTACCTTACATTACCTTACCTTACCTTACATTACATTACGTTACATTCCATACATACACACATTACATTACATTACATTACATTACATTGCATTGCATTGCTTACATAAATACATACCAACATACCAACATACCCACATAACAGCATACCAACATACCAACATACAACATACCAACATACAACTACCAACATACCACACACAGGCCACATGGGGGGGGGACCAGAAGAACCATACCACCACCACAGGCCACAGGGGGGGGGGGGACCAAGAACCCACCACCACAGGCCACAGGGGGGGGGGGGGCAGACGAACCAGACGATACTGTCCACCCATACCCATTGGTGGGGGGGGGAGGGGGGGTGGCCAACGCTGCACCATATATATATATATATATATATGTTGGTATATATATATATGTATAGCCATGACAAGGGTTCCCAATATGGGATGGACTATACACCAAAGACCATGTTTTGATCCCAGCAAATATGAATGGTTCATCCATTCTTTACATTTCTTTACCAGCCACCACAGTCGACCCGCAATTGCGAGTTCTGGCCCTCCTGAGGCGGTTATGGCCAAAATGGCTATGGCCAAAGTGGCTATGGCCAAAGTGGCTACGGCCTAAACGGCTACAACCAAAAAAATGGTCCCAGAGGCGTTCAAAGTGGTCAAAACGGCACGTTGGGACCTCAGGACCGATGTTTAAGCTGACCTGGCACATCTCTCGTAGAGAAAAGAAGTGGACTGGGAGCCAGTCATTGGACAACATGAACTTGATGGATTGGTTCTGCCGCGGGATTTACGTCAAACATGTCACCCAAATAAGAACAACATCCAAACAGGATGGGGCCCCATAGTTAGCGAAGTTGGTTTCGAACTATATGTAATCAAATTAGTGTATGATACTTATATGATCTTATATGTATATTTATATAGATGGGGTTATAAACTAATTTATAACTGCGGGGCACCATCCTGAAGAGTGCCCCCCCCCCCCCAAACCAGCGCTCTTTTGCGGCCACATTTGACCTCAGAATCCACTGTTTGCGGCTTTGGTGTAGAGGCCACACTTACTCGTCCAAATGCATACTACACAGCACAGATGTTAGGTCGAATTTGCTAGACATTGGTGATATGTAAAACTAAAGTAAACTAGTATATATCACATATATATGATTATATATGTATATATATCACATATATATATATATATATATATGTATTATTGATAGTAATGATAACAATGTATATAGTGTATATATACACTATATTTGTTAATTTAGTTATTTGCTATTTATACACTTTATATTATATATATAAGTATGTTATTCCCAAGAGTACCAGAAATCTCTGGTACAAACCATCCCCAAGTCTGGAAGTTCCAGGTCCAGCAGTAGAGCAGCGGCTGGATCCGGAGCTGAAACTTGGGCATTTTCTTCGGCCCAGGGTGAAGTCCCAAAGGATTTTTTTTTTTTTCCACCGAAGATGGGAAAAGATGTGCCTGTTCACTGCGACATTTTCAGGATTTCTTCACCTGAAATATACTGACATGTGTTTTTTTTGATGGATCAAGACGTAGAAATGTTCAACGAGACATGAGTGATGATGGTCAAAACATGTGGGACTTTCAACCAGACATCGCGGTGACAAATGTGACATGGTATGTCATGCTATTGGACATATGTTTAAAGATTATTAAAGATATATATATATATACAAACATCCACAAATGACACATATATATATATGTTATATCAGTGTGTCCAAAAAAAAAATAACGTTTCTACAAATGACAATATGTTTGCAATGTCCAGAAATGTGGGACCTCATCCTTTGAGACACGTGCGCTCTATGTGGATGCGGTCCCTTGGAATGGACCGGGATCTTGGGGGCCGATGGGGGCCGGGAGCTCGGCTATGCTCGGCTGGTGGAGCTCGGCTGATTTCACATGGTGGTCACGGTCATGACCCGGTCATGGATTATGTTAGTAAAGCAATAAGAAAAAACATATTTTGATGGTTACCATTGGTTACCATGGTAATTTTGGGGATGATTTACTCCTGCTCCATTAACTAATTACTAACAAAGTGTCTATGAAAAAAAAGCAGCTTCCATGTCAGTTTCAGAGATTTTGGGGTGCGAAGAAGTTTCAAGGGGTGAACTGGGCTAAAGACCCAGCTGAATTCCTTTTTCGAAGCCTTCAAACAAATGACCGAGGTCGAATTGCAGTTTACAATTGCTCTTGGATATGGTCCTTACTTTCACATAATTTGACCTAAAGTTATGGAGAAATCATTACTTGAAATCGATAAATCATCTAGAAATGGGCCATAGCTCTCATACCTATGTAATACATTAATAGATCGTCAGAGGGTAATTCCCATGAAAAAAACATATATACATCAATATCCTACAATGTTTGTTGGTCACAATCCTTTCTCATCACCTTATAAACAAACCATCAATTCACATTTTAAGCATGCAAGGTTTGGAGAAGATACAAGGCTGCCACTGCCCGGGGCCCTTGCAGGACGCATGGAAGAGGGCCCCTGCGATCCTGCCAGCGTCTTTGAGGTCCGTTCCCATGTCAGGCGCCACCCCTCTCCAGACCGTGGAGATTCACCTGCAACGTGGGAATTCAATGGGAATTGATCCGAAGAAAGGTATGGGGATAGATAAATTGGATGATAATGGATGGTAATGGATGGAAATCGCGCTGGGTGAGCCTTGTGGCCGTCGCAGCTGCCCGCGCTCACGCCGCCAGCCTTCTGGAGTTACCCCTCCACGGAGAGCTGGGAAGACCCCCCCCTGTCCCCAGCCGGCTGCCACCTTAACCCATGAACACTGACGCGCAGCAAAAAGGACTTTGGGGGAAAAAACAAAAAAGAAAACAACCATAATCAACCTCCAATTTTGGGGTGGCTATTATCCCGGTTTCTGGTCAAATTGGGGATGGTTTGCTCGTGAGTTTACCACATAGAGTTAGACATTGCCACATCATATCTGGCGAGACCATTGGAGGGAGACCATGCACATTCAACCGATGGCGCGGGCCCATCTGGAGATATGTGATCCTCTTTGAAATGACATCACAACCTGGTTGCACCTTCGAAATCAGCATCTCATCCCCCAAAAAGATAGACAAACAGATCATGATTTACCACCATAGTAACCTCAAAAAGATGGTTAGAAGTGTTTCAATCCTATGAACAGCGTGATACTCTTTGGTCTCTGGTGATTATTAACCATGATTAACGAGTATTAACCATGATTAACCATGATTAACCATGATTATATAACAAATATATGAACCATTATTAACTTATTAACCATTATTGATCATTATTAACCATTTTTTACAGCAACATGTTCTATCTTTTGGGCTTTTTAGGGGAGTTTTTTTTTTCGAATCGCAAACGACCAGGGATGTGGCACCTCACCTCATTGGCTCCGGCTGTGAAACTGGGCTAAACTCAGTGTGTAGCCTATGGGTAGCCGAAAAAAAAAGACACGTCAGTTGTATGGTGGTTGCAGACAGATACTGGTTGGTGGTTTGGAACATGTTTTTTCCATAGATTGGGAATAATCATCCCAACTGACTAATATATTTCAGAGGGGTTGAAACCACCAACCAGGATATTATGATCTCTTGTAATTTATGATGCCAAAAACGTACAAAAACAAGAAATGGGATCAAGATCCCAATTGACCAATCGTTTGCCAAGGGGTTGAAATATGTTGAGACATGGTACTTTGATTCGTAAATCTTTTGTCGGTAGCCAATATCAATATGTACTTGAAGTACAGCAACCAGCTTTGAACAGTGTAACAGTGCCAGGGATCCAAGATTGGCCATGTTCTGGTGTTTGAAATTTGTGGGCTTCCCCCTCTGATTTTTATATATTGTCTTCGGAGAATATATACACAACTACGAATCCATGACATTCTGGTGATGTGTTGCTGTTGTTTGATGACTGGTGATATCCGTGAATCTGTGATATATGTGTGTATATCAGTGTTTATATAAATGTTTTGGAGTGTGTGCGCCGCATTTGTGTTCAAGCTGCTGTTAATACATAGACAGCCTTAGTAGATAGAAACCAAATGAACTGGTTCGTAGACAGATGCCTCTATATAGTTCTATTTAGATAGATAGTATTTGGATGAATTATAATGACCTTACTCTGACGTCACCGGAATGATGGTTAGTAAGGGGAAACCATCCTCAAATAACCTTATTGCAGCTATTTTAAGGTTAGTGAAGGTGAGATAGTATGAAGTGGAGTTTCCGTACTATGTTTTTTTTTCCCGAGCCATTCAGCCATAGGCCGCCCTTAAAGACGGCCCGGGGAGCACCTTTTTCAGCACCCAAGTTCCTTCCAATTCTTTGAGGAAAAATACGTGATGGACGCTGATAAGCTTCTGAACAATTTGCCCACGGACTTTGCATCCGATGGCATCCCAGTACCTTGGTGCAACTCGCCCATCGGACGTTCATAGTGGGTGGGTTGCATAGATACGTGACGAACCATTATTGCTGTAGTTCCTTATCTAGTCTAGTTGTTTTTTGAATTACCCACATGCTCCCCCTAATTGAACACCCGGTAGAAACCATCGTTTAGTAGGGAAGATGAACCCACCATTTGCATGGAGTGTGTTTAAGATTACGGGGGGATGGGAATTTATATATATATACACGTATGTATATCCATAATGTGACATAAACAATCATAAATAATCCCATTGTATGCTCAGTCCTTAGTTGTGGCTCCTTTGTTTGGGCCAACAGCTCGCACTTAGCCTGAGCTGAACCTTCGGGATGGCGATGGAGAGAGAGAGAGAGAGAGAAATCGAATTGCATTCCGTTTCTAACAGATGATAACCCACTAAACCATTGATCCACCCCAATTTTTAATTGGACTGGTCAGGCCTGTCGAAACGATTACATGGTCAAATCGACGGCAAAGATGGTGTACGATGTGGAGTGGCTCGGTTGGCACATACTCCTTGGCAAATGGGGGGCCCTGCTGTATGCTCAACAGGGAGGCTACACCACATGCAAAATATTACTATGGCATACAATACGGTGACAAATATACAATGCTAATATATGTTCGTCGGATTTAGCCCAATAAACCCAGATGTCGCTAAAACATCTACCTTCCATTGGGCATTTAAATTTGTAGGCTATGAAGTGGTTTGCCCACCCTTGAGTCATCACCCTGAACCCTAGGGACCTAGTCATCGAGGCGATGTGCTCAGACTGCCATGATGCGTGCAGAACATGTGAACAAAGATGAAGAAGCAGAAGTGAATCAGAAGCGTGGCTGCACAAAAAAGGGCCTGGGGTGTAAAGAAATATAGACAGCTACTAGCTACCAGGCATTGAAGATCTCCACACCCACACACAACATTATATACTATACATTGTGTATATATATATATATATACATGTATATATGTATGTAGTGTTTTGTTACCATACATGGACCCCTAAGCACAGCTAGATATGTATGTAGTACAACAACTGACGCATGAGTTTTTATTATGGTGTGATTTCTACAACCCATGCTAGATATGCACTCGTCCCTTTGGCTCGATTCGGTTGCATTATTTAAGTGGTGTGACTGGGGTTTATGGTAGTTTAGATAGATAGATAGATAGATCGATGCATAGATAGATAGATGGATAGATAGATAGATATAGATAGATAGATAGACAGATAGATAGATAGATAGATTAGATAGATTAGATAGATTAGATAGATTAGATAGATTAGATAAATTAGATAGATTAGATAGATTAGATAGATTAGATAGATTAGATAGATTAGATGGATGGATGGATGGATAGACAGAAAGATAGATAGATAGACAGACAGACAGAAAGATAGATAGATATCTATACTATATAAATCAAATATTCTAACTGGGGTTGCGACACCTTTTACACATGCAGAGCTGTTTTTTCAAACGGCTGGTCAGATTCTGATCAACAATCCGCCGCGCGCCATTTAGGTCAATTTTACGGTGCGAATCATCGGCATTTTTACGGGTTTACCCTGGCGTAAATTATATAACAAACATGTGAAACAAATACATGGTTTCCCATTCGGAAAAATGATGTACACATGGTGGGGTTTCCACATATAGGGTTTAGGTAAGCGCTCCCAAACAAGATCGGCGTCGGGTTCGTTTTCGGCTACCTTTACAGTGGTTTAGGCTTGGTTTAGTCTACAGGACATTACATGTTTGATCGGTTCCAATTGCCATTCCTTCCACATCATGCCTGCAGGATTCTGAATGACTTGAAGCTGGTCTGCATTATGTTTAATTAGGGATCATTGGGGTTCTGGGTCCAGTCACCATCGCAGCACAGATGACCTAGCAGCCCCTTTCCACGATTTGCCAGTTAAAGGATAGATGTCCAGAAAAGAATTGGAGATTACTATGGTAAAAACGATTGGTTTCTGAAAGGTTGGTGACAACCTGCTCCCAACATATCAGGCCTTGCAAGCGGGGGCAAGTTCCTTGCCTCCAGTTACATTGTCAGAAATGGTTTTCCAAGGCATTCCAGCCGAATACGTGTCCTGGTACCTGTAAATGGTGCCTCGGTTCGGAGTAGAGCCTTCTGATAGACCCCAAGGCCCCAAGGCCCAAGGCATTTTGCTCTGAAATGGGCCGCTAGGAGATGATTTCATGGGCTTCATAGCATTTTTTGATCGTTGCATGGAGATCCTTGATGTTGAGATGGTCATTGAAAATGGCGGGCGATTCTTTCTGTCCATCTTGGCAGGTTTCATGGGGTGACATGAGTTTCAATCCAATGCTGCTTGGAAAAAAAACAACTCCAACTGCATCTCAAGCTAAGTGTTTTTTGATTTTTGTGGTGCTTGGTCGAAGTTCTAAGGTTCAGGATGCAAATGGACCAACGCACCCTTTAGTAGTCAAACATGGCAATGGAAAATCTACCATTTATAGATTGTTTTTCTCACTCAAATCGACATTTAGGGTTTTTCCATTGCCGTTTCTGACACGGTTGCAGTAGTGTTGCCAGTTGTATTTTGTTTCATTTTGCCCAGACAAGGACATCAACCATGCCCAAGAGACGATTTCTGTTGAAATACTTTGTGCTTGATCCGGTCGTTGCAGCGGTGGCCAACCAGGTTACTCATCCCCGGCCTCGTTTCCGGGACACCCCCAGATGTCGTCGAAGGACTGGGAAACCTTTGAACGGACCGTGGCTTGCCGGCAGCTGAAATCTGATGTTTTCTGGAATCCGCAAGGAACTCTTGGGCCTATTAATAAGCTCATATGGAAACACACATAGAAATGGATAGATTATATGGCGGTGGCAATAACTCCCAGAAGTTGGAAACTATGACCTTTCTAGCACGAAGTACCAGCAACCCTAGTGTTCAATGGGCACCTTCTTAAGCAGCTTCCTGTCTTCACTGAGTCTTGGGTTATAGGGCATACGCACACCACCACGCCAACGTTGCTGGTGGTTTTGATTGCTTGCTGCAAGAGTCAGACACAGCGGGTTTCAATTGCCATGGGGTGAAAGGGTCATCTTGCAGCGGTGTTGTTTGGAAGAAAGAAGCCTTGCCCCAGGTCTGAAATAGGGTTTGGCAGCCCTCAACATCAGCTATGGCATATGGTATGCTACGTCTGTATGATTCTTATCCTGAGGCTATTTTCTTGATTTTCTGGATCAAGAAAGCCCTTTTTCTTTGAGGGCAAACATGGCCAGGTAACACCCCCATGTGCCGGTCCCAACGAGTCACCCATCCATTGATCCATGAACCTTTCCACCTTTCCGCTCCTCGGTCATGTCCAAGGATTCCGCTGGACAGCTCGCAAACCAGTGGGGCACAGGCCTGATAAAATAAATCGGGGTTATCGGATATACAGTAATATTATGATATATTATGTAATATTATGATATATTATGTAATGTAATGTAATGTAATGTATGTATGGCATGTATGTATGGCATGTATGTATGGTATGGTATGGTATGGTATGGTATGGTATGGTATGGAGGTATGGATGTATGTATGTAAGTATGTAAGTATGTATGTATGTAATGTATGTAATGTATGTATGTATGTATGTAAGTATGTAAGTATGTAAGTATGTAAGTATGTAGTGTATGTAATGTATGTAATGTATGTAATGTATGTATGTATGTAAGTATGTAAGTATGTAAGTATGTAAGTATGTAAGGTATGTAAGGTATGTAATGTATGTAATGTATGTAATGTATGTATGTATGTATGTATTTATGTATGTATAGGTATGCATGTATGTAGGTATGCATGTATGTTATATGTAATGTCATGCTATGTTATGAACATGTTATGTTATGTTATGTTAAGTTATGTTATGTCATGTCATGTCATGTCATGTCATGTTATGTTATGTCATATAGTTAAGTTTTGTAATATAATCTAATGTATGTATATCATGTTACTATATCATATGTTACTTATTGTTTCGTTTGTGTTGAAATAGACGCCGTAATTTTCTCAATATCAATGAAGTTTCTCATTAAACAAAAGTATGTTCTCACTAATATTATATTATTATCAATTATTATCATGTATTGTATTGTTGTGTCTTATTGTTTTATTCTCGTCACATGTGCACAGATGCTGTTGGCAGTGCTGTTGCTGTTGCTGATGAATCACGCCTTCTACAGCGCCGCCGTCCTGCGCAAGTTCTAGTTGTATTCCTCAACGTAAGATCAAGATTGTGCGCAAGCAGACATGAACGTTATCGCCCCACCCTTCCACCTACCCCAAGCCTCAGCGTCCTAACCCATCCATCCATATAGAAAGTAAAGACGAGCTCCTGCGCACCGGTGCTCAGGAGGCGTCATCAGCAGCTAAGCACAGTCACCAAGAAACTCCTGAACTAGCTACCTCACCCACTATCCAATATTACTATATCTATATTTATTTCATTTTATTGTATAGAATATTAGGCAAATTTATACTTGTAAATTTATAAACTATGTTTTGCGCGCTCTGCTTTGTAAAGATTTGGCTGGGGGCCGACAGGCAGCCATGGTGCAGCAGGCCATGGTACAGGAGGCCATGGTGCCGCAGGACATGGCACCTCGGTGAGAATAACCGGAAACCATTGATTTTCCCATGAACATCATGGGATATCATGGGGCTTTCCGGTGAAAATTGTCCCTTAAAAGTTGGTTGCTCCTTACCAAGAATACTGCGTTCGAATTGTTATAAATTTGTTGCTGTTTTTTGACTTTGTTTGCTATGTTTTTTTAGTGGTGTAGACTCACAACTCAATTGCGACCTCGCAATAGCCTCACCAAAGATGATAATGTTTGTTAGTGAATCCTGTCAAAATGGTTGATTTCTTGTGACATTTTGTGGAATTACTAAATCATTTGTTGGGAGTTGCTGTGTATTCATACATCGGTATTAATTGGGACTATAAACTATACGTAATAGACTATAAGTATCTATAAGAGCCATATACCTGAAATTTTCGGCATACGTCATCCACCCGAGTGCGTCAGCTCTGAGGTGGTTTTGGCCATGGCGCCCATGGCCAGGGCGCCCATGGTGATGTGTATGGCCAACCCCCACGGCCACAAGAACCCTTGCAGCACGGCAGAGCCTCGGTCGTGGCATTTCTTCTATACCATTGCCGAACTAGATCCTGAGTATACACATAGCGAGCATTAGCGAGCTGTATTTTGGGTGATTGTTTTGAATATGTATAATTATATGCATATGTATTTACATACGTACGTACGTACGTACGTACATACCTACATACCTACATACCTACATACCTACATACCTACATACCTACATACCTACATACCTACATACCTACATACCTACATACCTACAGATTCAGATAGATTAGATAGATAGATAGATAGATAGATAGATAGATAGATAGATAGATAGATAGATAGATACATGAACCAACCAGGATACTTGGTGGGAAGTTGGTGATTTTTTCATATCCTGGGTGTGTCATCGGAATGGAGTGACAAGGAATGGAGGCCAAAGCCACTGAGCAAAACTGTTCATGTCTTGGGTTGGAATTTCTTGGGAGATCCTCCAAAATAGACCCCCCAAAAATGGTGTTCCTTTCGCACGGGAAAAAAAGTACTGTCAATGGTTTTGTTTGGACAATCTGCCGGAAACATCCGGAAACATGGTTTTCACCCATATTTTTAGGGCTTTTTTAGGGCTTTTTCCTGTAGCATGTCCCACCAAAGTCTTTGAGAATGACATCAACGATGGCTTGGAGCCGCAGCTAATCAGGTTATGGTGCGAACCAACGGTCAAATGTAAAGATTCCAACAATTTTAGGAACGTCAAATGTCCATTTTCAGATGACCCACGAAATCATCTACCCTCTGGTTATTTAGCATGGCTATATGCAAAATCACCATTTGGAAAATGTCGGTATTTTTTCAAATTTAATATATCTTACTCGTCTATTTCTATGGGCCATTTTTGATAGCTATGCGCAGCTATGTGAAACAACCAAAGGGTAACATCCCGAAGCAACTGGATAGGTAGAAACTCCCCCTACACATGGAAAATAAGTATTTTTTTACCAGCACTATATTTTCTGGTTCGTGGTTTCAAACATGTTCTATTTTCCATTTCATAGATGGGATGTCATCCTTCCCATTGACGAACTCATATGTTTCAAGATGGTTAAAACCACCAACCAGTGGAGGTTGTAATGGGGAAATCATCAAAAGATTGGGGAAATTTCCATATTAATTAATCCTTAACTAATCATCATTAACCTTTTGATAACTGATTAATGAGGATTTCCAAAAGATTGGGATCAAATGCCACAGATTGACCACGTCAACCTACCGTTTGGGACTGGTTAGTCCGACGTGTCCTGTGGGCCTCAGGACTTGGACCTCCGGAGGTTTATCAAGTGCCCGTGGAGCCGGAGGAGAAACGCATCAGGTGGGGCGTATTGGGATCAATATTGGAGATATTAGAAATAGATCCTTATAATGTTGGATCCTATGTGTAGATTCTTATATGATATTAATAAGGATCTATATAAGCGTATTATTGGCTTAGTGGAATAATTAATAGGTTTATACAATTTTGGGGATATTAGCTATAGCAGAAGAAAATACTTGGGATGATAGAAATGGAAACACGTACTACTTCATCTATGAGGCTGTCAGCAGATGATACAAAAGAAACTGTTGGGATGTAGCCAGCTACACAGTGGCTGAATGCCGAAAGGACAGGCAATGCAAGACCCCTCAGATTGGAACTTGAGTTATGCAATGTTCGTTTCCAAGGGCAGCTGCCAAGTAGCCAAAACAAGACCCACAACAACTTGGGCGCGTTGATGGCATCCATTGTATATAAATCATCAACCATCATTGTTTATAATCAAATATCATCAATATCGCCCGAGGTTTAGAAAGGGACCATAGAATGGGGTTGTTTGATATTTGGATGATTTGACTAATAACGTTTAATAACCATCAACATCCATCATCCATCAACATCCATGAATCATCACTTCATAACATGTCATCATAATGAATAACGATAATTATCCATGGTCCATAATGAAGAACCATAATTATCAATGGCCCACAATTAATAACAATTGGATATTAAATAACCATGAACTCCAAACTAAGAACCATAAAATGTGGGTTTTCCGGTCTTTAGACCCCCCACATCCTCCGCGGTTTCGAGATGTTTCGAGCGCAGACGTCTCCCGGCCAGGGCGGTAGTGGAGAAGGCCAAGCAATTGAACAAGGACGTGACGTGGGGGAGTCGGACTGGATTTTTACCCTCCTATCAGGAAATATCGCAATGAAAAACCGCTTGTACATGGAGGTTGCAATGGGAAAATCATGAACAGATTGGGGATTTTCGATTGACATGTTTGATAATAGATTTGATGGGGAATCAATACTAGGATTTGTGGGAATGATTAATGGATTTGAGCAATTAATGAAAGTGATCATCGGACGGCAGCCTGAAATAGCTGTTATCATACGGCCAGGTATGGGAATGATTCCCCAGTCCTAACCGTCATTCCAGTGACAGAACACGATGTGAAGTCATGATCAAATTCATCCAGAACATGACGTCATAGTCATAGTCTCAAACATGCCTTATCAACATCCCATGTGTATCCCATATCCCATCAACAATATGGCATTAATATGCCATATTAATTCACTGTTTGATGATCATGTTGATGTTTTCCAGCTTCACCCCGCATGGTATTATATGGATTAAAACCATTAGTCATTCCCACAAATGCCAGTGAGGATCCACTTCTTTTAATTGATTAAATCCTAGCCTAATTGATTGGTAAACCCATGAACTACTTCCACTACTTGGTAAAAGCTAAATCCGCTATATAATCATTCCCACAAATTCATCCATTAATAGCAGAGTTGTATCTGACTTGCCTTTAGCTCTGCTGAACTCCTTGAGAAGGCGAAGGAGAGATAGAAAATTGCTTAAAAAACAAGATGAAGCCCACGAACCCGAATGCTCACACGTGTTAATGGTACAGATGTCAAAACACATGGTTATGCAGTGAGGCACAATACCTTTCTGCAATAGTTTATTTGAACAGTCTGTACATGTTTCCCTTGTTACCAGTCTGCAGTGTGGAGAGGAAAGTGTGGAGTGTGGAGTGTGGAGTGTGAAGTGTAGTATGGAGTGTGAAATGTGGAGTGGAAAGTGTAGAGTGTGGTGTGTAGAGTGTGGAGTGTGAAGTGTAAAATGTAAAGTGTGGAGTGTAGAGTGTAAAGTGTAGAGTGTGGAGTGTGGAGTGTGGAGAGAGGAGTGTAGAGTGTAAAGTGTAGAGTGTGGAGTGTAAAGTGTAAAGTGACGAGTGTAAAGTGTGGAGTGAGGAGTGTAAAGTGTGGAGTGTGGAGTGGAAAGTGTAGAGTGCGGTGTGTAGAGTGTGGAGTGTAAAGTGTAGAGTGTGGAGTGTGGAGTGTAAAGTGTGGAGTGTAAAGTGTGGAGTGAGTCTGCAGTGTGGAGAGGAAAGTGTAGAGTGTGGAGTGTGGAGTGTGAAGTGTGGAGTGTGGAATGTAAAGTGTGGAGTGGGGAGTGTAGAGTGTGTAGAGTGTGGAGTGTGGAATGTAAAGTGTGGAGTGTGGAGTATGGAGTGTAAAGTGTAGAGTGTGGAGTGTAGAGTGTGAAGTGTGGAGTGTAGAGTGTGGAGTGAGGAGTGTAAAGTGCAAAGTGTGGAGTGTGGAGTGTAAAGTGAGGAGTGTAAAGTGAGGAGTGTAAAGTGTGGAGTGAGGAGTGGAAAGTGTAGAGTGTGGTGTGTAGAGTGTGGAGTGTAAAGTGTGGAGTGCGGAGTGTAAAGTGTAGAGTGTGGAGTGTGGAGTGTAAAGTGTGGAGTGTAAAGTGTGGAGTGAGGAGTGTAAAGTGGAAATTGTGGAGTGTAAAGTGTGGAGTGTAGAGTGTATAGTGTAGAGTGTAAAGTGTAGAGTGTGGAGTGTGGAGTGTTAAAGTGTGGAGTGTAAAGTGTGGAGTGAGGAGTGTAAAGTGTGGAGTGTAAAGTGTGGAGTGTCGAGTGTTGAGTGGAAAGTGTGGAGTGTGAAGTGTGGAGTGTAAAGTGTGGAGAGAGGAGTGTAAAGTGTGGAGTGAGGAGTGTAAAGTGTGGAGTGTAAAGTGTGGAGTGTAAAGTGTGGAGTGTGGAGTGTAAAGTGTGGAGTGTAAAGTGTGGAGTGTAAAGTGTGGAGTGTGGAGTATGGAGTGTAAAGTGTAGAGTGTGGAGTGTAGAGTGTGAAGTGTGGAGTGTAGAGTGTGGTGTGTAGAGTGTGGAGTGTAAAGTGTGGAGTGTAAAGTGAGGAGTGTAAAGTGTGGAGTGAGGAGTGTAAAGTGTGGAGTGTGGAGTGTAAAGTGTGGAGTGTTGAGTGGAAAGTGTGGAGTGTGAAGTGTGGAGTGTGGAGCGTGGAGTGAGGAGTGTAAAGTGTGGGGTGTGGAGTGAGGAGTGTGGGGTGTGGAGTGAGGAGTGTAAAGTGTGGAGTGTGGAGTGTAAAGTGTGGAGTGTGGAGTGTGGAGCGTGAAGTGTAGAGTGTGGAGTCTGGAGTGGAAAGTGTAGAGTGTCGTGTGTAGAGTGTGGAGTGTGGCGGCGACGCCGCAGGAAACAAAAAAAACGAGGATTTCGTGCGAGACTTCCTCCAATTTTGATCTTTTCGACACGTTATCAAACAGGTTGGAATGTCACAAAGTGCCACGCCTGCCACGCAAAACGACATGACAACCTGCTTGGACACATTCGAATCGGAGAGGTTTTCCAGCTTCCCCCATAGACACGGCGACGCCACAGGAAAACCAGCGACTCGACACAAGACACGTGAATGCAGAAAAACCAGCATTTCGTACGAGACTTCCTCCAATTTTCACAGTTGGCAACATGACAAAAGGAGAAGTTTTGCAGCTTCCACCATAGACACGGCGAGGCCACCGGAAAACCAGAGACGCGAGACACGACACGTGGGAGCGCCAAAACGAGCATTTCGTGCGAGACTTCCTCCAATTTTGACACTTTGCCGCTTCAAAATCGACGTTTTCCTACGAGTTTTCCTTAGAACGTGAAAATTGGCAACCTCAAAATCGATCTTTCGTGCGAGGCTTCCGTCAATTTTCAACGCATCGCACAAAATGCCACGCCTGCCATGGAATTTGCACCTTGTCGACACTTGACGCAGCCCTGCCAATGCGATTTGCAAAAAACACGCAACATGACACGTCTAAAATGCTGCGCCTGCCACGAAAAATGACGATGGACACGTCCAAAGTGCTGCACCTGCCACGAAAACTGCAACACATCTTCGGAAAACGTCGCAAAAGTATTGCGCCTGCCACGCAAAACGACTTTCGACACGTTCCAGAACACGTCTGAATGTCACGAAGTGCCACGCCTGCCACGCGAAACGAAGCAACGACACGTCTGAAACCTCCAAAAATTACCACCTCTGCAGAACTTCCCATAGGCACGGCCATACGGTCCTCACGCGAACGGTTGCGGACGGTTGCGAACGGTTGCGGACGGTTGCGGACGGTTGCGGACGCGGACGCAACGTCGAGCGAACACACTCCAACCCCCAGACCCCCAGAGTGAAACGGGAACCCTTGCTACGCATTCGGGAAACATGAGTCATTCCAATAAAATCCACTGATTCCCCATGAAATAGGGATTTACCACGATTTCTCCCACAAATTGGCTTTCCAATTACTTAGGCATTTCCATGAAATCCATATTAATCCATATCTGGTTGGTGGTTTCAAACATGTTTTATTTTCCATAAGATATGGGATAATTAACCCTTCCCATTGACTTTCATATTTTTCAAGATGGTTAAAGCCACCAACCAGTGGAGGTTGTAATGGGGAAATCATCAAAAAATGGGGAAATCTCTATATTAATTAATCCTTAACTAATCATCATTAACCTGTTGATGACTATTGAGTGATTAGTGAGGATTTCCAAAAGATTGGGATGACTGATTAATCCATATATATATATATATACACATCCATATTAATCAATCCATATAAATCCATGAAAATTTGGGACAATTTTCATATAAATCCATTATATAATTAATAAATCCATCAAAAGATTGGGGAAATCATCATTAATCACTCATCCCCATGAACTCCATCACTCCCTCGTTCCTTCGCTCGTAGGATCCCTCGCTGATCCCTGGCCCTGTCGCGCCACCGGATGGGGGACGTCCTGCGCCACCCATTGCGAAGATGCGCCTCGGCGAGACAATACCTTTAAGGTGAAGCCTATGGAAGCACAACTTGGGATGAACAAATCAGATCATAAATGATCATAACGCAATATAATATAATATTGTATAATATTAATATAACTATAATTTAGTAAAATACAATGTAGTATAACTCGCATATGTATGTATAACTTTAATATATAGACAACAGTGCATATAATATATATATATACATTATATTATACTATGATGATATGCCTAATCTCATCATCAAGCATCATTCCTTATCATCAGGTAGCAGCAACCATCGTAAACTATTGTGATCTTAAATCAGCAGCAAACGCAATTAAGAACCATCCACCGAATATTCACCCCCCCGAAACCATGGTGTAGTAGGGGATGTTTGGGACAATTAGTGGTGTTTAATATTTGGGGGATGGGATTATATACGGTTATGGTTATTATATAGTATGGGAGGTTGTATATAGACAATTGTATTTTTGGATGTGTAATCATCAAAATGGGGATAGACAGCCAACATTTCTGGATTGACACAAATGGTAGCGCCCCGGGTCAAAATTAGGTTTAATGGCATGATTTGACCAACCAGACTTGCGCAACACCATAAGAATAGGAGGACATGTTGCATAAATAATAAAATGACATTGTGTTACATGTCTATCCTCTTCAAGCTCCCTGTGCCCTTGCATATGCCAACAAAAAGTCATAGAGGATCGAACAACCAGACATGACAGTATACTATAAAGAACTGCAAACATGCGCAACCTTTGCTGGAAGAAACATGAAGAGGCTACCAAATCCGTTGCCTGATAATCCTCAAGATTTAAAGTGCTATGGCTATTGACTGGAGAAGCAATTCAACCAAAAAGAACCGAATGATTGATGTCCTTCCATCCGGTTTTCCCATCCCCATGTTCCCAACGATTTCCTGACACAACTATCGATATCTATTTATTGAACATTATTGTGGGTTTGAACTACCCTCTGGTAAACTACCACAACTATGGAAAATCACAATGTTTATATAATATGTAAATCGACTATCAATGGCCATCTTTAATAGCCATGTTAGTTTACCAGAGGGTAACTAGCCATTCAACACCCCCAAAAGGCCACCTTTTTGCCAAGTGAACTACCCTTCCGCCCATTGCCCAGGCCCATCTTTGGCGCTCAGCAACCCATGCTGGACAACGGCGTTCCTTCAACGGTCGGATTGCCTGTCTTCGGCAAGCCCGTGATGATTCAGTCGCCCGGCTGCCAACGAAAACGTGGCTGAAATTTGCAGATTTCAAGGAACAATATTCCGGATAGTCCCTTTTCTCAATGAAAGTTAGCAAAAACAAAAAGCCACAGATATCAATGATATGTTTGATGGTTTATACATGTTTATACAAACCAGATGATTTACAATAATAAACCACAATATTTTTGGATGAAGTTTATACCACCCATAAAAAACTGTAAATTTGGGGATGGTTTACTATTGCTTTGCTAACATTACCGCAATCCTTTTATCAATTAATTATGTATATCCGTGTGTACTCCAGAATTTCCACCCAAAAGCCTGGTTTAGGATCAATTGAATAAGTCTTGGCCAACCCTTTATCTTGGTCTTACCCTAGCTTGGTCCCCAGATGCGGAACCTGTGAGGATGCTTCCTCCTTTGGCCTTTGCCATGGAACTTGTTGCCGCGAGCTTACTTCACAGCGCCCCGAGTTTGGGCTTTAAGGATCTTTAAGGATGTTGAAGGCAAACTTCTTGAACAACTACATACATTCATACATATATACATACATATAGATGTCAATTTAGATGGCACACACTGTTGAAGCAGAAAGTGAATGGCTTCGAGGCTCATAGCGCAGCATTCAACCGAGGAGGGGGCCCAGTTGGCCTATGGTACCCCTAGTCTTGACACAAGCTATTTACTATACATATCAGTGTGTATGTTTTCAAGGAACTCAAAATCACTAATCATTTTGGAGTTGGTGAAGTATCAAAGATTCAGCCACAGGTTTGTTTTTAGTTGCGATCACCTCCGCTGATCCAAACAGCGATCAAGAGCATGGTGGCGATGGTGAACATCAAAGGGTAAATAGATGTCAACATAGTGACAGTGATTTGTCCAGGCGGGTTACCCCAAAACAGATGTTTTTTGTTTGCGCATGATGAGACATGAGATTTGCACAGGTCTTCCCATGATTTTGAATAATTTTGAGACACCCAAGATGGCTTTGTGTCCAAATTGGATACTCCCAGAGTCCCAGATGTCCTAAGTCCAAGTAGTCCAAGTAGTCCACAGCCTCTGGAAGCCCTGGCACCGCTAGGACGGTCGCGGGTGACTCGCACCATCGACTTCCTTTGACGATTTCGAGAGCCGGAAGACGGGCTACTAGTGAAGTGTGGTTTGACGTGGCACATCGTGGCACCATTTGTATGCATTTAAACGGCGTTTTATGTTTGTATGAATTGTATACATGTTTGCTACATTTTTTTCTGTAGATGGTGTGCATTTGATTTGTTGCACAAGAGTAGGTAGTTGCATGATGCCTTAATGATATTGCATTTTCTTTGCAATTAGTAGCTGGCCAATAGCCATGCTCAGCTAGCTTCTGCTGATGAGACGAGCGCCCTTCGCGGCTTACTATCCAGGGCTGGGATAAATATCCAAATGTCCAAAAATAACTTGTGTTCACTTTCAGGTTGTCAAATCCCCGTAGAACCTCACCAATGTATTGTAGCAGTTCCCTTTTGAGGAAAAAGGGCAGAGGTCCAAGCATACCACACTACCACAATGCCAAAACCGTGCCAAACTTCGTGTGGGCGCGGCGAAAAGTTGGTGCTGTGGCAGGATTTATGGTGAACCCTGTAGCCAAGAAATGGCGTTTCGGGCTCCACAACACAATAATTGTATCATGGCAAATCATGGTCCATTCACTGGCCATCTACCAATAACATGTTGTGATAGATATGATGATGCTAGCTGTTAGATGATATATCTACATTATATGTGTAATTACACATATTGCTTTTATGTGTGATGTTTGTCTCAAACATAATATCGCAGCCAGGACTATCCAAACCATCCCAACTGGGATGTCGATCATACGTACATCATAGGGCAGAAACCCCTCACAGGTTTCACCCCTATCAACACTATTCTTTGTGTTGGGATGTGTTGGGTATTTATTTGTCATCATTTCTACCATATACCAAAAAAGAATTCTGATGATGAAAGAATATGTTCGAGTTTAATATTCCTGGCCACTTCACCGGCGATTTCCACATGGAATTTCAAATTTCCTTGTGGAGCGCTTGCGGTGCCAGGATTATCATCAGCTATTACTTGGCCTTGGGGTGTGCGCCCCAGGTGTTGCGCCGATGGCAGGGTGGTGGTTGATATAGTGGTCAGCTTATACTAGCCGGTTTTATGTGCAGGAGTATGATCAAAGACGAGAACCCTTACCAAAAAAAACATTCTCTCTCTCTCTATGTATAATATATATATATCTATATATATATATGTATAGATACACACGCATATACACTTACATATGTATATTATATGTTATAAATGAATATGTATATATACATATACATATACATATATATATATATATATTGTAGGAGGGGCTTGTGGGGCATGATCATGTCCTTTCTCTCTGGGGATGATCATCCATGAGATATGCAGGAAGATCTGAAGTGAATGATGTGTGTTCTATCAAACTTAGAAGAAATCATCATTTCCGTGGGAATGATTGATTTTACAATTGGATTTCTTAGGAGATGATTGATTTAATTTAATCATCACCCCATGATCATTGTAATCTTTTTATTGGAATGATTGATTCACATTTTTTGGGGATCACGACATGCTTCAGAGTTCACCTTGGAGAAACACCTCCCGGTCATTTGCCTGCTGGTGGTGTCCCCATGTTAGTGACTCCCAGCCACTTTCATGTGGCTAAATGCCAATGATGCCGATTATCATGTGTCAAACATCCTTGTGTTGTTGGATGAAACTTCATTGATGTTGACAGATTTCCTATAATTATTATGATGCATCATTATGTGTCAATTTGATTTGGAGATGTCATTGGTGTGTCACCATCTCGCCCCAGCTTCAAGACCGGCAAAGGTGCGGGGCATGTTACGAGATTTGGCTGATGTTCACTGTCGCGTCCCGAGACTTGGGAATGGCCCATTCGATATGAAAAAAACACCGGTGTTTTGAAGTGTGTCGCATCCTGCATTGGCTCCACCTAGATTTTTAGTATAGACATCCTGCTAAACTTACTGGTGCTAAACGCAGGGAATGGATGGGTTGCTGGGGGTTGCTGGGATGATGAAATTACTAGTGATGACTGGGATCATTCCCGAAAATTCCCTGCGTAAAACGCACCAGTAAGTAAATGTCAATGGCTAAAATACAAAATCCACTGTAGCTATTTCTTTGGCAAAAATACCGCTACAATGACAATAATCCAATGTCAGACGTCCTGCTTGCTAGCATGATAGAACGGCCGATGAAAAGTAGTGTCCAATAATCACAAACGCTTATCAACACCCCATGGGTAAAAGAATCTGGTTTGATGGGATGTTGATCCACTAGACTTGGCCCTCCTATCTCAATGTTTTTTTTCCCGGTTTGTTGACGACGATGTGCCTAGCAGTCTTTCAATCCGAAAAGCAACTCATTTCAGCCCTCATAATTGTCTATCTAGCAATCGATCGACCTATCTAATGATTATTTACCTATCTAATCTATCGTTTATCTATCAATCCATTCTTCCATGTATATGTATACATATATCATATATATATATATATATGTATAAATACTTATATATATACATACGTATAATACTTACATATATTCATAGATATTTGCTGTGTATATACTGGTGTTTATATACACCGTTATTTGTGTCTGTGTGTGAGTTGGTTGGTTCTCCTTACATTTTGAACTTGAACTGGCAAGCGAACATACAGCATGTCACATGCGCCTGAGTGAACCGCACCCTTTTCCCAGGTTCTTAGAGGATATCGGAGGCGTGCCACTGGATTGTTTGAAAATCTACAGAGAACCCATGGTTTTCCCCATGAAATATAGGAGTTCCTGCATTTTTTCCTTAAACCAATCTAACCCTTTTTTTTCCTAACGGGATATACAGTGCTAGCCAGGACATGTCGTTCAGTAGCAATGTCAAGACTCTTTGCTATTTTTGTTCAGGCCGTTTGTGGGGATGTCTCCTGAAAGAAATATGCGTTGCTAATGTTGCTATATGTTGCAGACTGTGACTGCGATGTTCCATCTAACTTTCACCATGGACATGAAGATAGGAAGCCACCCAAAAAAAACTGTCCAGGATGCCCTGATTGAGTCAATGATAGCCATCGATTCCGCTGGAAACTGAACACCCAGGGGCTTCCCATGGAAGATTTTGCTGAACATGGAACATGGGAATAATGTGTGGTGCGTTTTTGTTGCTTGAACATTCCCATCGCAAAGCCTGAAGGAAACTTATGGATAGGCGGGATGCAAATTGGGGGTCCCAAAGAGGAGTTCGAAAAGCCAATCACCATTTTGAGAAGTATAGATCGAGATGAGTTTTGTGGGCCCCAGATATGGGGATAGGTCAAAAAACTATTGTCACTATCACCATATTTGAGGGAATAGCCATCCAGCAACCATCTATTTGGATGGGTACCATCCGGGTACCAGGCTTTTGGCGCATAGCCGCATAACCATATTAGGTCCCTTCTGGGTGCTTTGTTATTGGGTCTTTCGCCATTGCTGGCCAGGATGTTTGCAGATTTGGCCATGGGGCGTAGGTACCACGGCCAGGCCTGGGAAGAGTTTTACGCAGACCTCTCAGGTGAGACTGTCATACGGTGCTGATAAAGGCAACACTTGCCTGACCTGGTTTAAAATTGTTTAATATTGTTTAATATGGTTAGATATGTTTTAATAGGATGTTGATTTGATATGATTTGATATTGCCCTACAGCTGGAGGACGTTTTGGTTGGCAAAATATCCCCCCTTTCCCTTGAGAAAACCCACCCAGCTGCTGGGGAAAAACATGGGGAAAACACCTTTGCTGGAGAGGAGTTGGTGAAAAGCGCCGGCCCTGGCATTTTCCACGCCCAGTGGGCCACTTACTGCTGCGGCGCGCTGATTGGCAATGCAGTGGGACTCCCAAGTGAGGCTGGTTGGATTAGGCCATGGAATATGGCCCCAGATGGCCAAAAATTGGAAGGGACACAGATGATGAACAGGCGATATAACCATCAGCTGATGGTGAGATAAGGGATGATATAGGCAAAAGAAACTCCTGATGCCATCAGCAGAAACAGAATTTAGGGATATTGGACATGGATATTCTCTGTATATTGCTACCTCAATACTTTTATGAACCCTGATGGATTTTAAGGATTGTGAAATGCCACTGACCTGCGTTTTTTCTTTTGCCAAAAGCCGAGGCAATGGCCTTAGCGACTTGGGCAGCAGAGGTGGCGATGTTTTTCCTATGATCATAGAATCACATATAGATGGATATTTTTTATTTGACAGAGTACCCACCATCATTCAAGAGAATTTTTCACACTTCATGTGATCTCTCCACGAGCTTTTGAGGTTTTGCTGATGTTCATTCTGTGGCTCCTTTTCCTGGTGTTTCTCGGATGCGTTGGCGCTTGCTGGGAGGTTCCTTAGGGTTGAGGTTCTTGGGTTTCTTTGAGACATGTTGCGGGGATAATCAAAGACCGAACTCCACTATTCCTAACAGACAGGAGTCACTTAGAAATGTGGAGCATGATCACATTTCTTGATTATCATTGATGATTACATTAAGTTTGAACATCCTGGTCCAAAAATACATCACAGACCACCTGTTTGTGCATTGATTCGTTGATGTATTGGACGGGCAAACCGCAGACCAGGTGGAACTGAAATCGGAACCTTAATGAATCTTGTACCGGCTGAATCATGTACCAGCTCACGCGAACGACTTCAATATGGACATGGATACAATATATAATATTAGATGAATTTATGCAATGCATTACAATGGAGCACCGTATCATATGTCATACCATATCATATCATATCACATCATGACAATAGCATGGTATAGTATAGTGTAGTACGCATGTGTTTGTATTGTGTATCATTAAAAACATTAAGCATCAATAAACCTAGTTGCTAGCTAGCCCACCCTGGTGTTGTTCCGCTACGAGGCTCAGTCTGCCCCAGTTCTGGCAAATGATGTGGGGCTTTCGCAAGTGGTGGATCGTCTATGCGCCTTGGATGATCCCCATTGACATCCCCCTTTAAGGCTGCAACCAGCAGTGGCGGAAGAATCTCGATCTGCCGTGAATCAACGGCCTGCTATGGGGACCATCAATTGATCTCTTGGGGAAAATCTGACTCAAGAGTGTCAACAGTCAGGGTTTGACATTGTAGGCCGTAGACCCCCAAATTTGGCCTTAGTATGTGGACAATTGTGGCAGTGCCTGCAAAGGTTTTTAGCTGCCACAAGTACGTTGCTCTTTGAAGAACTAAGGGGTGCAATATGGTGCAATTCACAAGAGAGAGTTTGATGGTTACCTTCGTTTCGGCCACGAAACTTTGATGCTTCTCCGAGGGACTCACCTACGCCACTCGCTGGAGCATTTTTAGGTGTGGATCCGAATATGATGGTTCAATGAGCTGGGATTAAATAGTGTTTAGTTATATATTAATGATATTTGACATCCGTTATGATATCCTAATGGTACCGTAATTATGAAATTATCATTAACATGCATGCATCATGATATCCTAGACTAGTCCTACTAAGCATCATCAACAGAATGAAACTTCCAAGAGAAAGACATGTCGAGAACGCGGAACGCCGAAAGCCCGGCTTGCCCAGGCTCTGCTTGCAACATGGGTTTCGTCTCAAAAAGAGGAACCTGCAAAATCACATCATCTGTGCTTGTTTATAAAGATAGCCATTTTAGAGTCTCCCAAATTTGGCTCTGAAAAAAATAATTTCCAAAATGGAAAGTTCAATTGGGAAAATGAATGAACATCAACCATCATCAACCATCAACATTCGGAATTGGGGGTAGCATGTATTGTCCGACCCCATATTTTAGAATCTGAAGATTTCAGACCCCATATTCCATCAGCCAAAGAAGATATGAACATCAACCATCAGCTTTCCATTGGAATTCACCATTATTTCCATGTGGTTTATATAAACCATTATGTCAACATTTATAAACATGGTGAATTCCAATGGACAGGTTATTATCAACCATTATCAATTATCAACCATTATACCATCTGGTTATTTAACATGTCCATGGAAAATCACAATTTTAAAGTTCGGTAAACCATCTATAAATCTATGGGCCATCTATACCATGGCGAACTGTTAGTCATAACCAGATGGTATAAACCATCATAACCCATTATAAACCATTATAAACCCATTATTAACCTATTATTAGCCCATTATTAACCTATTATTAACCTATTATTAACCTAATATTAACCATTATTGACATATGATTTTAACCATTAATCATTATAAATTCCATTCTAAACCACTGATAAGAATGGTCCATTTCGCAATCCCGCCAGGTTCGTGATCCCGCAGAAGGTGGTCACGGACGATGGCGCGGTGCTGCGTCGCCGCGTCCGGGGGCTGGATTGGATCGGCTGGGGATGGTACAGCATCGTATAGCCGTGTTAGCCAACAAAGAAAAAAATGGAAGTTTTGGTAAAATCAGAAGTACAAAAACAAACATGTGATAGCGTGTTTTTTGTTTAAGAAAAATAGTTTTTTCCCCACCTGCCAGGTGAGGGTTGTTAGATTTTATGTCAGTTGCCTGGTCCTCCTCCTCCTCTCCTCTCCTCTCCTCCTCTCGTTGTCCTCCTCGTCCTCCTGCTCAACTGCGACTCGCGATCCACAGTGTTCTCTGTCGGACCTCAACCACGACCATCCACGCCCAGTGTTCCCTGCCGGACCTCAACCACGACCATCCACGCCCAGTGTTCCCTGCCGGACCTCAACCACGACCATCCACGCCCAGTGTTCCCTGCCGGACCTCAACCACGACCATCCACGCCCAGTGTTCCCTGCCGGACCTCAACCACGACCATCCACGCCCAGTGTTCCCTGCCGGACCTCAACCGCGAGTATCCACGCCCAGTGTTCCCTGCCGGACCTCAACCGCGAGTATCCATGCCAAGTGTTCCCTGCCGGACCTCAACCGCGAGTATCCACGCCAAAAGATATGCCACATAGAGTGCCAGAAGATATGCCAGATAGAATGTTAGAAGATATGCCAGATAGAATGCCAGAAGGTATGCCAGATAGAATGTCAGCTAGAATGCCAGAAGATATGCCAGATAAAGTGCCAGAATGTTTGCCAGATAGAATGCCAGCAGATTTGCCAGATAATATGCCAGAAGATATGCTAGATAGAATGCCAGATGGAATGCCAGAAGATTTGCCAGATAATATGCCAGAAGATATGCCAGATAGAATGCCAGATGCCAGAAGATATGCCAGAACATCTGCCAGAAGATATGCCAGGTAGAATGCCAGAAGATATGCCAGATAGAATGCCAGATCGAATGCCAGAAAATATGTCAGATAGAATGCCAGAAGATTTGCCAGTAACAAAATGTATAAATGTCATGGTGGGGATCACACGAAGAAAAGTATTTTTTTTAAAAAAAAATATGTTTGGGGATTGCCAATGGTATTTGCTAGATTTAGATACATTTGGACCAGTTATAAAAATTATAGTTGGAATTAGGTATTAACCAAAAACTTTGCCCAGAAGCCGTCAAAACGGGATCGTATACCTTCTGGTAATTCAACGCTTTGCTGTGAAAATCAGTACGAATAAAATAGGCAAGTCATCGAACCAAATGAGTTCTTTTTCATGGCAAGAGTGTAACAAAGGACCTTGGATGACCAGGGTATATTAGTGACATTTAGTGACACCATAGCTGTTGTAACTTTACTCATTTTTCTTGGAGGAACATCACAAGGATCCCAGTCACTTCATTTGGGTTCTCTTAGTGCGGCGAGCTGAGCTGGCCGGGATCCACATACACATCATTCCTTATTACCTTCCAGTAAACTAACATAACTATGGAACATCACCATGTTTTATGGGTAAATCTACTATAAATGGCCATGTTCAATAGCTATGTTTGTTTCCCAGAGGGTACTGCATAGATGAGAAGCCAAGAACCAATGAATTGAGTATCCCAACCACATGATTGTAGTATTCTTGGCTCACAAGTCCCCACTTCATGAATTACTTTGACTGGGGTTAACACCCCACAAGCACTACCCAGTGCACGTGTGGGGTGAAGCATTTTAGGTGTTACCATCCCTCAACTAAACAGCTCGATTTCGAGAATTCCAGCAGCCCATGAATTGTTCGTGCTGAAATAGTAGTAAAGTGTGGTTAAAACATGTCAACACATTAAGTTATCCCCGCAACTTTAGACTTTGAGATGACTTTGATCCTACATTGGTCACAAGTCCGAGATGTTCCGTTGTACAAGTGACGAAATGGGTAGTGGCGCCACACAATCAGTTGTTCAGTGGGACTTCAAGAAGCGGCTCCCCATATCAACCAGGAGGTTGTTGATTCTCGGTTGCTGAGATTGATGGCGTGGTGTATGCCCTTTGTTAGCCTATACCATAGGGATGGACAGAGGGCAGTCTACTGAAGAAGTTGACTGGTATTTTCCCGATAGAAAGGAACAAGACTAGCCTATAGCAGCCATTAATGAACTTAGCAGTGTGCTCAGTGTTTTTTGATGCCTAACATGTGGGATTTCTCCACCAGTGGACCAGAGGTTCCCTGTGCTCCGCGATCCCGCAGTGACTCAGCTCCCGGGGCAGAAGAACTGCGCGTTGATCGGACCCCCATCCGGTGCCATGGCGCGCTCTCGCACCATCTTGGCTCCTCTGGTGACCCTGGCTTGCCACTTGGATGCCGTGACGATGTGTTGCTTTTCAGGGTGATGATGCTTGAGGTGGAAAGCCATCCCCAATAGTTCATATTATATATTCCCATAAGCTCAGATAAAATCTAAAAATAGGTTGTTCAAAACTCCCCAGATGGGAGGCTTATTCTGTAGATCGAAATAGAGTAGATTTGATTGAAACCCTTGAAGATACAACGGCAAGGTCCGTGGCTTTACCTGGCGTTACTGGAGCCAGAGACCTTGGGTGAGAGTTATTGAAGGGAAATTTCACAAGGACCCCCTTCAAAACTGCTCGTTTGATAAGAACCTCCCGAAAAACCATGCTGGTTCAAGATCCATCAAGTTTTAACACACACTGCTGATGGGAGCATGTTACTGAGTAACATTACTCGAATGAGGAACTTTATAGTGGTGAAGTAGTTCATGCCTTGAGGGTTCCTAGGTCCAAAATCCTGGTCAGTCGAGTAGGGAAAGCAGTGGGAAACTCTGATTTCTGAGATAATCTCAAATTAGCAACATATACGCATGAAAATGGACAGCTTGTTCAACAGTTCAAAACCAACTTCTGCAGGTACAGGGAGGTGATCAGTCTCCCCTTCCCACCAATGGCAATAGCTTCGTTGCGTGCAGTATGCCAAAGGTGCTGCACGCCCCTGCATCTGATGGATTGTTTGAATCAACTTGTTACCCTCTGGTAAACTAACATAGCTATGGAAAATCACCATTTTTAATGGGAAAATCAACTATAAATGGCCATTTTCAATAGCTATGTTAAATTACCAGAGGGTAACAGAAACTCAGGTCCGCATGAGTGATAGCGGATTTCACACACACAATGGCCCCCCCGGCAGGGGAGGCAGCTGCTGGTGAACGCTGTTTTTCATCGCAGTATCAGTTTGCAATATATACATGTCCTAGAAATTCTTGTACAACATATGGGAAAGGTTCACTGTAAATCAAATGGTCTCCTTGGGACAGAATAAGGGTCCAGACTGCGTTCCCGTTGGAGAGCGACTCTTCTGAAAACGATCGGTTGAAGGGAAAGAGGACTGAACAGATGAACCATCAGCTGCAGTGAAAGACCGATCTTGACGTCGATATGATGTAGAACTTGCATTTTCAGAAAGTGGCTCGATCAAAACGTTCTTGATACTCGAGCGTGTCTGACCATCATAACTATAGGGCTCCCGGACTTGCGATCTGGATCGTTCACTTTCATTTTTGAAACGAGACTCAACTGAAGCGTTCTTGATACTCGAACGTGTCTGACCATCACAAATATAGGGTTCCCGAACTGGCGATCTGGAGCGATCGGTGAGACGTTTCCGAAGGGACCACTGTTCCAAAGTATTGCTAAGTTCACGCAACGAAGGCATCGTAAGAAGGAGATAGATTGGTTTGAGTTTGAGCTTAAATATACTCTTCAAAATTCAAAAACGTGTGATTCGAACTGTCAAAGTCAAGATTCGCAATCGGCAAAAGTATGATGAAAACAACTGAGTTGAGAAAAAACACAACATGAACATAACTGAAAAGGTAAATGAAAAAGAAGAAAACAGTGTGACGTTATCGAACTTCAGATGAAAAACGTCAAAGAATGCCCATTGATGAAAATGTCCAACATCAAATGACTTCACGAAAGTGATGGCGAATGACGACAAAACACGACAATGCGAAATCCAGCAACTGTTTTGTCTGCGTTTCCTGTCATGGTATCTAGTCAAAGTGAAAAAGAGAATCAGGATCAAGTTGTGGATGACGTGAGCGTACCAATTTGATAATCTGACTTCTCAAAGTAGAAGACAATACATCACGTTGTCGTCGAGACCAAATGGACAGAAAATCTTGAATTTGAGGTATTTGTAGAGAACTGGGCCATGTATTCTGCAAAATGAGACGAATTCTGGCCAGAGCTCCGGACGTGAGTGCCTTAGTCGTACTTGAACTCCTTGTTGAACGAAACGCTTTGTCCACAGGTTGAAGATATGTAGTTGTACGCTGTAACACGTCAGCGTTGTATCCTAACAATTCAGATCCTTCAACTTGTTCAAGTAGAATGGGAGGTGAATAGAATGAAAGATTCCAAAATAACTGCATTTCTGAGTTCCAGTGTCCCACAGGAAGTAGCATCACTCGATTGTCAACGTAACGATGATGAAAAGTGGAATTGTTGGTAAATTGACGAAAACAGGACAGAAAAGTATGTTCTCGCATGAGTGCGACAGCTGCACAGAAAATAGGTGCCCATTGACTACCCATGCTGGCACCACGTTTTTGTAAAAATGTAGACATTCCGACGGTGAAAAAACTGTGATTCAACAGAAAGCTACAAATAGGTAGAATGTCGCCCAAGCGAATATCACGATACATCTTGGTGTGTTGTCGCCATTGACCTCTAAAAACTCGCAGGGTGCGTTCATGTTGATATACGTGTGCTTGAAGTACAGAATCGAAGGTCTGTCCATGTTGTAAAATATATTGATGAATGGCGAATTCAATAGATCCGAGAATGCGGTCATGTTCAACTTGGTTGTAGAAACCAGCAATATCAGTCTGAAAGAGAAGAAGGTCAGCACCATGATCAATTTGGAAAAAGCATTTGATTTCGTTCATCACCTTGTTGATATCACTGTAGCGAAGTAAGGATGGATAAACAACTTTCAAAATATCTTGCAACACCACAGACAAAATATAACCCATCTGTTTTGGCCAAGATCGACTGTAATTAACGATGGGTCGTGCTTTCATAAACGAGCGTGAAGGTTTTGGAAGAATATACGCCTTGCTTAATGATAAATGAAAATCGAAAGCCCAAGGATATCTGTCAGTGATCCATCCAGGAAGATCATACTGAATATTCTTCAGAATAGTGGCTGAATCAACACTACAAAGATGAAAAACAGAGGTGTCTTGAAATGTCTTACACAGCAAATTGTGCCACTGGACAGGACAATGTAAGGTGAGAGACGATGGAAAATGATCTGCTGGGGAAGCAATAAGTCCGTCGATCCTTTGTCGAGCCTGTCGAATACGTTTTTGAGTGTACAACTGACCTGAATCAAGTTGCAAATTCCAACAGTCTTGTAGAAAAGCCTGCCAATACTGGATCAGATCTCGGCGAAGTTTCCAACGTCGTAACCATTTTTCAAATTGGAAGGTGTTTTGATGGAAAAATTGTGTCCACGTAGGTGTAACTTCATCTTCCAAATGTGCAGTCAGAATAGGATCCAGTGGAAAACATTCCGAGGCGAAGGATGAAATATGATCTGTTTTCCGTGGATTGTGTTGAACATGAAGAGGAAACAACTGACAAGCACACTGAGGGCGAAACTGAGGTGTCCACAACTTTAGAAAAGAACGAAAATTGTACAAATATTGAGCTAAAGTTCGATTTTTCACTGTCACAAACGGTGCACGAACTTTGTGAAAAATGGGAAAGTTACAGCGATGATGGTGAGTGAATCCCAGCAACCATTGTCGAAATCGACGTTCCATTGTATCCGACAAAACCTGTAACTGCATGGGTATATTCGCTGGTGGCGATTCAGTAGCATAGAATTTGAAAATATAACGCAATTGAGATTGTGCTCTGGTCCGAAAAGGTTCCGACATATGGTGGCTCAAGCGCCATAACAAGAAAATCAACTGCACATTTGACAACTTCGAACGTAGAATGCGAGAACAAATGAACTTGTCATGCGTGTCAGAACCAAGGGAATACAGGAAAATGTACAAACTTGTAGTATCCGTAATCCGACGACTAAGAATGCATTGAGCAGTTTGCAGACTGCGTTTGCGAAATCGTTTCACAAATTTCATCCCTTGAGTACTGGTCTTCAAAGTTGAAGGTCCGAATTGTTGCTTACCAATCCGAAGTTGTTTCATCAAAGGATTGATCCAAGGCCAATTGTAAATGGGGCGAAAAGTCCTTTGGCATGCTGTTTCAACTGCAAGAAGCTTGTCAACGTCAGTCTGGAGTAAAGGAAAACCAATAAATTGAAAATAGTTGCGTTGTGCTGACCAGGCCTTCAAAGCTGGTTCGTAGTAAGCAAGTTGGTCTTTCTTTAACTGTCGGTATTTTCGTAACCGACTCTGTTCTCTCGAAAACATGGTTTGTTCAGTGGAGCCAATGTAAAACTGAGCATTTCGAAAATGTAAACGACAGTACACGATGCTCGACCTGTTCCACCATGTCCATGACAAAATTTCTGGAAGTTCGCACTGCCGCAAAATAGTCAGAAGACGTCGATTTTTGGCTGAAAAAGGTCGAATGATGTAAGCAAAAATGGTCCAAACACTAAGTATCCACATGATCCGTTCCTGTACATGCCATGGTAAAGCTGGAGAAAATTGCAAAGTGTAAATCATGAATTGGATGCTAGCAAACCACAGCGACTGAAAATGTGAGGCAAGCTTCGTTGTCTCTGCACCATGCATATGCTTGGAATACTTGCGAAATGGCTGCCCCCATGATGATGGAGGACTTACTTCACTGGTTTGTAATCCAAAATGTCAGTTTCGAAGGAATTGAACGGCGGCCAAAACCTTCAAATTGTATTCCGCCTTTGTTTTGGCCAGTACTGTACTGGGGAGACCCCAATCTGAAAGAATCGATTCTAAATTTGGTCTTTCAGAGGCTGGAAACTGATTGTATTCGTCAGTAATGGTCTTCAACATGGCATCAACATTGACTTGTTCCGTCTTAGGAACATTGTTCTTGATCCACTTGTCGAGTTCAGTCATGGTATGTTTGGGTGTGTGTGTGCCTAAGATGGGTGCGTTTTGTCCACGTCGATATTGTGAGAGTGGAGAACGGTCATCTTGGGCTCCCGGCATACTTGGCATCGACTGACTTTTTTGGCGTCTGAGTTCCTCTGTTGCTGATTGACGAAACATGGATGGGAGTGTTCCGCCTGGTAGTTCCTCAGTGTTCTGAGTCTGTGATCCTTCCTGAGTAGGAACTTGACTTTGGTTGGCACGAAGAGCTGCGTTCTCTTTCTTCATTCTTTCCAGTTCTTCTAACAATGATTGATTGGA